GTGAGTAGAAAATACTGTTATATAGTTTAACCGACGATCGCATACACATCGTGTAAAACGAGGCCGTATTCACGAACACCGATACAAATAGACCGGCGATTAGTAACGAATACACCATCAGATTGTGACCAATGTTGGTCTTTTGGCCGGTGCTCTCGGCGTTTGTCCTGTCATTTAAGTACCAAGAAAAAATTTTAACAATAATAAAATGTTATCACCTGTTAAAATAAATATACTGTATATGCAGTATAACCCGGTTATTATCCCATGTTGGGTTTTTCAAAAATTTTTGTATAATGAGGGTTACATGTAATACACACAACATTTAGTACACTATACAAAACACACTGACCATTGGGTGAGCCACAAGTCTGACCACTGGTACAGCACTTGCGCCAACACAGTCATCAATACAGTAAACGTGAACAGCGCGGGACCGGCGCCTGCCTTCGTATAATCCCAATACACTCTACTCTCGACTGATCCGGACTTCTTGGACTCCCTCTTCTGCTCCAACTCATCCGTCTCGGCGTCGATGGCGGCCAACTCCTGGGCCATCGCCTCCGCAGTCGCCGCACCACTGCTGGCCATCTCAGACATGTCGCCAATACTGCTCGGTATGGATGGGGTGTAGGCCTGGAGGCCAGCGGTTAGCTGTTTATAGTCAGTGCCGGTGTTTGACACGGGTTTGATGTACGAGAGAAAGTCAACGCCGGCCGCCCGGAGCTCGTCGTAGGTTCCCTGGGCTACGCAACGGCCTTCGCTCAGCACCAGTACCTTATGGGCCGCCTTCAAGAACTGGATCTGATGGGTGACCAGCACTCGGACCTTATCGCTCAGGTAGTCTACGATACACCTAAAAATAAATAATTTCAACTTTAATACTATTTGGTGTATTTAGTTTCGGGAGTAGAGCGTACTTTTGAAACAGGTGTTTGGCCACGTGTGCGTCTACGGCGGACAGAGGGTCGTCCAGCAAATAAATATCAGCCTGGTGATATATGGCTCGGGCCAGGGCTACCCGCGCCCTCTGACCCCCACTCAGCGATACACCCCTTTCGCCGACCAGAGTTTTGTCGCCGTAGGGAAAGAGACGGAAATCCGTGTCGAGTGCGCACGCCTTGACAACTGACCGGTACCGGTGCTCGTCATACTCGGCACCGAATAGTATGTTGTCCCTAACGCTGGCCATAAACGCCCATGATTCTTGCGCCGCGTACGACACCCGACCCCGTACAGACAGTTGTCCGTAGCTCACCGGCAGTTCGCCCAGTATTGACATTAATAGCGAGCTCTATTTAAAAATATGTTTAGTATTAAACTAGTTAGGTTAATAAAATTTACGATTTGATGATCAAATGTGTTTTGTGCCTAACCTTTCCGCAACCTACTGTCCCAATAACGGCCAATAGTTGGCCCGGTTTTACGCTTAGGCTAATATCAGCCAGTGTGGGCTCCGGTTTTTCCTGTTGGTGTAGTGTAATTTTATTTTATTAATTATAATTTAGGCAACTATTATGTTGCAATTCCATAGTAATGCACTTACATTATTCCAGCGTACAGTGAGGTTATCTATGTAAACTCCTAAACCATTATCATGGTGCTTGTCCACGTGATTGTCTACTGAGGTCTTATCATAACCATCATTACCGGTTGTTTCTGTCATTTCATCTAGCATTAAAAATGTCTATACAAAAAATATAATACAAATAAATTAGATATAGTTGTTTTTTGGGGATGGGGTTAACACCGAGATGTAAGGGTATGTTTAATACCTGTAATCTATGTATAACGACATTGAGTTCGGCGGTGGCGGCGATACAATTGGGAAACTGTTTGGTAATAGTTATCCGCATTATATTGAAAAACGCTATGGAGACAAACACCCGCTCGGGTGTCAACTCCCGGCCCGTCAACACTAGTGTCACACAACAGGCGTATAGTATTATACGGACGGCCATAAAGTAAAACGACAGGTTCACGCCCTTCAACAAACTCGACTGCCGTATGCGGTGTATTTCTTTCCTAGATCAAATATGATAACTATAGTAAATTATAATAAACAATGGTAAATGATAATGGTATTTTACGTTACAGTTTACTTTGTATGTGAAACTATAATTTTTTTAAACAGTGTCTATATTAATTATTCATATAGTTACTTACATAATAATAAGCAAATCTATAAAATTAAAATTAAAATGTTCAATATAAAGTTATAATTGTCAGCGGCTACCATATTCCCATGAAAGGCACGGTAAATTATTTATCACACAAAATTTGTAAGTTTATAATTTCATGATTATAAGTTATAACAATGGTTAACTCAATGGGAAAAATAATTAAACTATCTGAACGTTTTCTTGTTTAAAATATATGGAATAATTTTGATTTATATTTTCTATGGCAGTAAATTACTGCCAGTAATGATAGCTATGGTAATGGGTTGAGCATAAATGATGGTAAAATATGTTATGCACTTACTTGCGGGCTTCGGAGACCAAGTGCGCGAATGCCATTTCCCACGTATACATCTTAATCACTCGCATAGCGGCTATGATTTCGGCCATCAAACGGATCCGATTGTCGGTGAGGGGAGCGGTCAGACGACGGGCCTTTTGAAACGCCCGACCCATTAGACCCTGGAATGGTATGAACAACAATAGGACAGCCATACCGGCCAAACACGCCCACCGCAAGTGACCCCACAGTATGTACATAACGAGTGTGAGCTGTAGCGGCGCCACCAGTATCGAGTGGCACCAGAATGCGAACTACAGTATATACACGAAATAATGTACAATTAATTTATATAATTAACCTTTAGTGTGTGTTTTAAATAGAGTGATTGCTGAAAATTACCTCGTCAAAACGGTTGGCATCGTTAGACATCATGTTAATTATTTGACCCACAGTGGTTTTGCCCAGAGATGTGCGGCTCAGCCGTATAGACTAGAATATTGAGATTAATCATGATGGTAGTTACTAAATATTTGTCCCAGTTTAATTTAATTATAGTTTTAATGAAATATATTGATAGTGTAATTTATTTGCACCTTGCTGTAAATGAGTGCGCAACAGGCGGTGCGCATCCGGAGCCCAGTTTTCATCATATACACAAAGTTTAGATGAGTTGAGTGTAGGATCAGTACAGAGCACAACACTATACCCGCAGCCGACCATACGGTCCACGTGTAGCCGATGTCCGCACCCGATGTCTGAAAGTACCGGACGACGTAACCCAAGAGCACTGTTTGGCCCACTTTTACCACTACTTCCTGTAATTTATTAAAATATTTTATTAGTTTTAAGTGTGTGTGTGTGTGTGTGTGTATGTGCGTTCTAACTCCATTATAAAATATTTGCATG